CAGACAGCCTTGTGGTAAACAATGATGTAGAACAGTATCTGGAAAACACTCCTGGATATTCTCTACTGCTTCCTGCACCAGAATTTCAAGCTCTGCTGGGTCCTCAGAAGGATGATGTTAATTTGATGTGCTCAGATTTGGGAGCCTCTGAGGCCTGAAACAATATTTGTTCTTCCACACCTCAGATATGATTTTTGGAGGATAATAATGTTGACCAGTTACACTGAATTAGTTGGGGAAAATGTAGCTTCTGCTCTGACACTGGTGGGAAAATAAAGGTTTATTTGTAAGCAGAATCATTCCTGTGGCAGGTTGTGCAGCCCTCACTGCCTCCCTGGTGTGGAGGGAAGGCTGCCCAGAACCAGGGTGGGCTGGTGTGGGAGGAAACCAGTGTGGTTGTTTACAGTGGGAAAGCTGGAAGAGCTGGAATTCCAGTTTTCTAATTGGAAACACGAAGCCAGTGAGGTTTTCTGTGGAGTTCCATGGAAGTGTGAGATGGTCTTGGCTGGTGGCTTTTCTAGCACTGCAGCTGTAGTGGACCCATGCTGGTGGTGCCAAGGAGCAGAGCCAAGGCTGGAGATGGACACTTGACCCACCTTGGGGTAACTACAGGAAAATCCCTTTTTTGCAGAGGAAAGACAAACCTGGGCCAGAGATGGGCACTGTGGGGCTGACATTGTTTTGGGTTTTGAAGAATTAGTCTGCAGTTTTAAACATGTGCCAGGATGTTCAGCAGGTAGTTTTAAGATTGGAAGTGTGGCTTGCACCACAAGGCTGTTGGAGGAGATATTCACCTGGCTGATGCCCATCACTGCACCAGGCTGTCTTATTCTTTTAATCATTTGAAATGCATGAATAAAGAGAGATAATTACTATATTTGCAAAGTTTTCTTTTGTAGTGGTCAGAAACCTGCATTCTACTATGTGATCATGATGTAAAAAATTCATCATTTACCAAGAGTAAAACTCCAGAACACCAATAAACCAGTATTCAAGGAAATATGTTGTGTCTAGCTCTCCCCTCTACCACAAAAACTGATTGCTGAGCCCAAGGAAGGATGGAGTTTCATGATCTGAAAACAGATAGATATTGGCACCAAGGCTGTGGGATAAATTAATATTTGCTTAGAAAATTTTGGTCTACTCAAGAATTTTCAAGTTCTGAAAGACAGTTTCTAAAATAAAATTTTGATGAGTCCTTTACAGTTCACTAAGCAGAACTCATGCCTTTTGGGATTATATTGCCAGAGATGAGCTTCCTTGTATTAGGTTATTTAATATGCTCAGACCTGGTTTGCTTTAAGATGTCAATAAAGGCTATTTTCCCCTTTGCTAGAAGGAAGTAGGAGTAAAAACCAATTTTGTCTTTAGAGGTTTAGAATCACAAAATATGCTGAGTTGGAAGTAGTATTTTCCAATCTCTGCAGTGGCTTTCAGGATGTTGTCTTGGTTCTCTGAAGTTTATAATGAATATTTGTATCCTAAGAATTCTCAATCTCTGTGAAAACAAAGAATTTCAAAAGCAGACATGTAATGCTCATGTGCATCTAAAATGCATATCTGAATATTGCTGCATTTATGTTGTACCCAAATGTACACAGCACTCAGGGTGTTACAGGACTCACATTCCTTGATGGTTGATAGCAAAATGCAGAGGAAAAAAGGAAAGAGACCAGCCCAGCAAGGCACTTGAATAAGCTGCTAGGTGAAAAGGGTGTGAACTGCTCTCAGGGCTTCAAGGCAATTAGTTTCCTGGCTGAAGTTGTACACAGGGTTCATCAGTTTGGAGATAGCCCTTATGTTGTTACTATTGAAAAGTTTAAACTTTTAACACAGCAACATAAGTGTTTGCTTCCAATGGCCCCTGTTTTCAGTGAGGTTACTAAATATTGCACTTGCTGAAATTATCATAGTGAGCTGATATTTTCAGTGGAGTCTTTTTGGACTGGCTCTGCTGTATAGGATTTGTTTCACTGCTTTCAAACTTAGCAAAATGCTCTTCATAGTTGTGTATAAAATGTCAGTTATTATTTTTGAAACCTGAAAGGTTTAGCAGTATTCCAGATTTCCACCTTGCCCCACATTTTTGCCTACATTCTGAATATGTAGTCACTGCACTTTTGACTATATTACATTTCATTTTCCAAGCAGCGTTCTATTAGATTAAGTCAGATAGAAGGAAGAGCTTCACATTTATCATGAGTGACTTGCACATTCAGTGAAACACTGTGTGATATTGAGTAGTTTAAATCTCCAGTGTATAAATTGTAAATTAACATTAAAGGCCTCTCTTAACATTCATTATTCTGTTTAAACAGTCGTGCAGAATTACTAGTTGACAGTAATTTTTTCTTGAATACAAATATGTCATTTGTTCTACTGTTGTTGTAACTCTCTTGAGCTGTCACAAAAAGAGTGTCTTAAAATAGGGAAATGGTTACTGTAATGGACAATTGAGACTCTTATTGCCATTTAGCAGAAGCTTCAGGTTTGCTTGCACCTCATATTGCTAATTTTCCTAAAAGCCAATGATACTTTGGTTGCTGAGAATTATCCCAGATGATAAATGCCCTTCCTGCTGGAGCCACTGATTCAGCCTCTTTGGTAGTCTTAGCATAAAAATCTGACCTGTGAAGATGTGAAGTATGACTTGTCTGTCATAAGGGATGACTTTCTTTACCAAGTAGCCCTTTAAGGCATAGGGGCAGAACAGTGTGAAAAGTATTTGTTGCAGACTTTTTTTATAAACAGAAAATTTCAGACCCCAGAGCTCTTCATTTATCATTGTACAAATGTGAGAAACCTGGAAATAGATACAATACATAAATCAGTAAGTCCCTGTAAAGGACTTATGCTGCAGGATGCATTTTTGAGTAGAATCTAAAGCAAAACTATTGAAGAGCTTGTAATTTCCAGTTCATGTCACAGTTGTGAAAAACAGCTTTGTGTCTTCATTATACCATAGCCCCTTATTGATTTCCAGTATAATCTAAGGACTGGAGTCCAGGCTTCCTGAGAAATTTAGTAAGCCTGGTGACATGCCCTCAATAATTCCAAAGACTGAAACCAGCAACTGGCTACTGAAGTCAGGAAGATGTCAGCACCTACCCCAAGAGCTGCTTGCTGTGTTGCCACATCTTCACCTTCCTCCAGTGTCTCTCTGCCTGCTTCTCCTTCCTCTGTTCTCTGCCTGCTTCTCCTTCCTCTGTTCTCTGCTGTCTCCCAGCACTTGGCCACAAAATCTTCCCTCCTTACCCATTCTCCATCCTTTCTCCATCTCTTCTTGCAAGCTGCTGCACATCTTTTCCCAGCCCATGCAGCTAAACAAAGCAAAGCACGAAGCTGGAAATTCAATATTTCTTCCAAGAATTTGTTATTATGCCTGAATATTATTTGTTTAAAACCATGTGGAGATTAAGGCCGTTTGAAGATCCTTGATTACAGTTTAGGAGAAAACAAAATTCCAGCTTAAGCTTCTGATTTTTTGTAATAGCACATACTACTCCATTGTGTTCAAATTTATGCTTAAAATGGCTGTTCTAGAGTCACATATGTCCAGAAATTAATTACACTGGAAAAGAATGACTAAAACTTGATTATATTTATATTTTAAGTTTTATTTGTGATGAAATTAAGACCTATTCATCTTTAGGACTATTAACAGAGACAGTTTGATTTTTGTTCTTCTAGATCACGAATTTCTCCTTGCTCATGGTCTTTGTATACTAATAACGATCTTCCTTAAAACTCCTGATATTTTGACTTTCTTAGTAGGAACAGCATCATGCACAGTTAGTTGAAACCTCTGCTGTGAGGAAAGGCACATGCTCTGACAACAGAAGCCTGGCTCTGTCTCTGGTTTTGCACTGCTTAGCTGCTGTGTGCCAAAGCTGATCTGTACTGATGCTTGACAGGATATGGCAGTCAGCTGTATGTATGGCTGAGCAGTTGTTATCCATTTACGGTGTTTATGCAGAGCAATGAACGCTTTGATACCTCTCTTGTTGGTTATTTTTTTTTTTCCTTTTCGTATCTAACCACCACAGTCCTTATTTCTAGTGTAACATTGAGTGCTCAGCATAAGTAGAGAGACAAGTTTATCCTTGGAGCAGGCAGTCTGAAGATAGAACTCTTTTGCAGAAATACTCAATTCTAAACAACTCTTCTTAAACAGTAAAAAAAGAGAAACATTTGAGTTCTTAAATCAAAGTATATGTTTAGATGATCTTGCAGAACAAGAAAACCTTGCCTCCCATTTAAGCTTTGCGTGTTGCCAAGCTGTAACAACAAAAGCCTTGTGGAACAACTGCTGGTTTTAAACAGTGTCTGTGCCCATTCAGGGTCTCCAGGAAGGGCGTTGGTTGCTGATTTCATACACCTTGATGTCCCCTACTATCAGCGGTCAGTTTGTGGCAGCCTAGTGAAACCCTCTGTGAACCAGGTATAAGGTGCATTTAGAAAGCAAATTTTTGGCTGGATGTCAGGAAAAGTGTGTACTGTGAGCATGAAGGAGCTTTATTTATCAACACTGAGGTTCTGCAATGCATGTTTTAAACATTTTCAGATCACACACTCCTTGGACAAGGAATCTTCTGCTTCTTCCTTATAAACGTAATAGCTACTGAGTAGTTATGTGTGAATCATGTCAGGACCAGCTGTAGAAAAGAGCTGCGAGCATGAATGTTAGGAAGTTATTTCTCTCCATTTCAACTTACTGAAGACTCTAAACGATATTCAAAGGGCCTGTGTACACGTGAGGGGCACAGTAGAGTCAAGTGTTGAGACAAAACATTACTGTAATGGATTTCCAGTGGGCTGGTACTGCCCTATGTCTTTACACTAAAAGCTGCTGCAGTTATAAAGCCTGCATGTGGTTGTAGATATATGGATATGATAGCAAACTCCTTTCCTGGGAGGAGCTGAAATCTAAATTTTCTTTTATTTTTGTGCTTAGTACATTTTTTCTGACCTCTCGTTCACATAACAGGATCTTTTTTCTTTGTTTTAGTCTTTCTTGTGATTAACCTTAGACTGCTCATGCCAATGAATTCTTCTGGGGTTGACCTGCAGTGTGTTGAAGCTGGAGTTTGTATCCTCCTAATCCTAGGTCTCCTTCCTGAATATCTTCCTTGCCTGTAGCCTGCATGGAGCCTGTGCTGTCCTGTGCTGGCACTGGTGTGTGAGCAGAGGATTCACAGTTTTCGGTCAGCTCATCATTATTGATGATATAAACTGTGTCATCATCCTTCAGTTGATCCTGTATTCAAACAAAGAAAGAGATGTATGGAAGAGAGACTCATGAGGGAGATTTTTGTTAAAGCTTAAATGAACAACAAGTCTGATGCATTTTCATTTTATTTCATTACTTGCTTATTTTCTCAGGTGTTCATTTACCATCTTGTTGATTAAAGCCAATAGTTGCTTACCATGTTCTGCTCTCAAGCAGTGTTGAGAAACATAGCCTACCCTTCAGATGTTTTAGATAATTTCAGTGCTTAAATATTGCTGATGGGTAGCCATCTGGATGAATTATTTAGAATATATCACTCAAATTTGAAGCTCATAGTGTTTAGTGACCATTCATGAAAATGTACCTTGTCTTCTTCACAAGTGAAGAAATGGTATGATTACTGGCATTAAAAGTAAAAAGTTTTAGAAAAAGGACTGTACTGAAGCGTTCAGTCTAAAGTGGCAGGTTTTGGCTAACACCTTGAACTCAGTTAACCAAGCTGGGTACTTACCCCATATGCACTGGGGCTGGTCAGAAGCCTGGCAACAGGATTGCACCATTCAGGTAAGGTTGATGTGAGAGGTGGCCCAGTGTGGGTTAAGAGAGGCTTTAGATATCTGTGAGGTTTGTTAAAGGATATTTGCAATACAGATACTGGTGGCAACATGCTGCTCTATTATATTAAGAAACTTCATTTTAAAGCACAAGAAAATCATCTAACTAAATGGAAATATAGAAAATACAATCTCTTCACCCTCCCCCCCATAACTGCATTAATTCACCTGTCATCAGTCTTATCTAATGCTGTTCAGTAACAGGAAAAAAACAACCTAAAAACTCCCTCAAAATGCAAACCATTTGATGCTCAAAATCTGTCTTGAAAGGGTACCAGAATGGTTGAAGGGAATGTCATGGGAAACATAATGCAGCAGGAGCTGAAACACAAGAAATGTATGCCAGATTCTCCTGATCAAATTGCATAAGAAATCACACTTAGAGCAAGACATAGAAGAGTAAGCAGAGCAATTTGAGATGCCATTTTATCAGCTAATTTATATAAGAACAGTAACAAACATTTAGCCTTTTGGAAAACCAATGCATTTCTTCAATAGACAAAGTGTATTTCATCAAATATTAAATTCCTTTATTGCTTGGAGTGTGTATAAGTTGTTCTCTGTAATACTTTATATTCAGTATTCAATGCATTTCTTTTCCATTTCATACATCAACTCTTCTTTATATAAAATTATGTAAGTTAGGAATAGGCCTTATTCTGTTGTCTCATACCTGTCTTTCCAATCTTTTCATCCAGAAGTGCTTTATTGAGATAAAAGAAAAACCTGCTCATCTTGAGCAATTACATCATCTGTGTATCTGCCAATAACAGCCCTCCCGTGAATCCTTCAAGCTGACTTATCTTCTCTGCCACTTCTACTCACAAAGTAATTTTCAGTGTTCTTTGGGAAGCAGATCTGCCAGCTCTTTTTGCTGCTTGGGAAAATTTACTTTATTGATTTGTTATCCCACTTTCTCTACCCTGCTCCTTTCTTTTGCTTTCTTGCTTGTGCCATCTTCCCCAATCTTTCTCCCTGCGTCCTTAAACAAGAAAGGAACAAATGTAACAATAGTGATTCAGATTCTGTAGCAATATTGTAGAAATACTGAGGAAGGAGCACTGAGTCTTGGGCCTCTCCACACCAGTGCCTCCTTTTCTTTCCTTTTCCATTTCTTTCTTTGTTGGCTGTTTATGGTATCACTGCTTTACACACAAAGTACAAATTCTTTAAGCTGAAGAAATGTAAAATATGCTTCCAATCTCGGTTAAGAATTGAAAGCTTAAGTAACTTGCTGTGTCCTATATGCTACAGACATGGAAATTGCTCTGTAGTGGTGTTTGTATGTGCACATTTTGTATTTATTTTTAAAAGTTAAGCTGCATCTGTCAGAAGATTGGGTGATTTCTTCATCCAAGGTCAAATACTGAGCTTATGTAAAAAATTGAGTCTACTTTAGAAAAGATAGTGAGATCTTAATATAAATTCTTATCAGAACTATGATCAAGGTGAGAATCTCATGAGATCTAATTGTGTAGGGAAAGTTTAGATTTGTCTCATTTCGGTTGGAGTAAAATCAAGCTAAACAATCTTTTCTAATCCATTCCCAATTTTATCTGAAACCTCCCAACTGCCAGGCTGTTAAGAGCTATTATTAAAAAGCAAAGTATGAAAGCCATTAATTAGAGTTGCTCTGTTTTCAGCACTTCAGAAAAACCTAATTAAAAGGCCAAAAATGGAAATACAAACATAATTCTAGGTTTTTAATCTTTGGAAATATTTGCTTTGTTATTACAAACAACTTGAATTGTTTGAACTGAGTTGTCAGACTGAGCGTGAAAAAGAAAGGCTTGTAAGGGAAGTTGCATTTGATTATGCTGAGTTCTGTCTGCTCTGTTCTTTCATTCTCTTCCAGAATAAGTAATTGAAGATGAGTATAACTCTGCCTTTCTTAATCCAGTGATGTCTGAGCTAGGCCTTACTTGTGAGCAGCCTTATAATTTCCTAATGAGCTTTGATCCCACTCTGTAAAAATGGGTCCTGTTTTTGTCCCTGCTTGCACAGAGCCTTGACCACACAGAGTACCAGGGGCTGTGTGCTGAAGCAGACAATCTACCCAGCCAGCACAGTAATCTTCAGCCCCTTGAGCCACTACCTAGCACAAACTTTTGTCTGGTGTGTTTAACTGGCTGGTGTTTATGTATGTGGATATTCTGAAGTTGAGTGATTACTCCATTTTGCAACAGGTTCTCTAAATCCTCTTCATTTTGCATTTGCTCTGACACATTCATTGTGTGTTGTCTGTGCTTCTGCTCTGAAGCCTCTTGAGATGCAGTTTAAAGTGAATGCAATTTTCTTGTGCTTGTTGTGTTGATTCTGTAATAAATTATTTATCTTTGTTCCTTATTTAACTAGTTATTATTCAGCCCACTCAAGGAACTTAAATTGCACTGGCCTATTTTTCATTGTTTTAATAACCTATGCCATAAATATTTCCTCTTTATAGTTGACACAGTTGCTTTATAGTATTACAGACATAATCACATAGTTTAGGGCAGCATAAAAGAGGAAGAAAAATCCATGTGCAGTGCTGGCATTTCAAAAGCATATCAGATGTGGGTCCTACTGCATTTTAAGGCTGGCAAGAAGCCTTATCACACTCCAGCTGCTCTGGTTGCATCCCCAGCGAGATGTAATTTAAATAGTGTAATAGAAAAAGGTGGATGTTGCACTAAGGCTGCTTAGAAAATTGGAAGAAACGAAGTACAAACCTCTTGGCATAACTGGGAAGTTACAGCTGCACCAAATTCATGCCTACCCAATTCAGGGATAGGGAGAAGATAGCAGGGCAGCACTGCTGTGCACTTCAGCCCTCCCTGGGCAGCACAGCCCAGCTGCCCCTGTGCCATACAGCCTGTGCTAAGGAATGGTTTTAATACTGAGTAGTGAAACTGGATTAAGGATACCAGTATAGGCACGTGCATAAAATTTTAATCCATATATAGTGCAGGGATGTTACCATGCCCTGCTTTTATAATCAAGTACCCATTTTCCCATTGATCTCCCGTCTTCTGCTCTCAGTTCACATACCTAGAAATGTTTACCCTGGTTTGCCTCATTGCTGTTTGACCATCCCTTTGCCCAGGCCGTTTCAACCTTGCCAGGCATGGTTCCTCTCCCTTTCTGTCTCACACCGGGCTCAATATCTAAATCTGTTTCCTCTGTCCTGACTGAGCTTCTGTCTATTCTGAGTTTGACTGATCTGATGTCCTCTTTGCTCTAAGTGCAATGCATTTAAAAATAAACTAATGAGGATTTATCAGGAATCAAACCATGGGATTGTGATTTTTTTTTTTTTTTTAACATTGTCTGAAACAAATATCTACTATGGAAAATCTTCCTCCTTTATAGCTCCTGCTTCACAAAGATACAGGTAACCTGAAAGAACATTTTAAAGTGAGAAGTCTCAGGTAAATCTGAGGAGAAACACTACTGCTATTAACCATATTGCAGAATGTTAAGGTTTTCCATCATACAGAAAAATTTAAGATATTAAAAATTTTGACTTAATATTAGGATGAAAAATCATAACCTAAAAATTTCTGTGACCACAGTTTGTTTAATGGACATGTTCTGTCAGATTTTGAGGATGTTGGCAAAAATCACTATCTTTTTGATATTCAAATAGGGAAAGATATTCTGGCATAAATGTTGTGGCTGTTTAGAGTTGGACTTAAAAGTTCCCTTTCCTTTTGTCAGAGGAGCAGAATTCTAGTCCAACTGTGGCTCTGCTATGAAAAATATCATAGTAAGAAAGAAATAACTTGCTGGGGTGGAGGGGGGGAGAACGCACTCGCCCCCCATAAATCGACCACAACATCCAAACACCAAAAAAATTCAAACCCAAACTCCCCACCCACCCCCTCAACAAAGCAGCCAGTTTGGTCCCAGGTGGAAATACACGTGGTAGCTCTGTAAAGTCCTGCATTTGGCCCCAAAGGTGGTTTGCCTTTTACCTCATCACATAATGAGGGCTCTGTAACTGAGGGCAAACCCATCCTCCTCAAAGGAAAATGTGCTCACACTCTATGTACTATTAAAAAGCCCCAAAGTATAGGAATTCTTGTGATACTAATCCCAATTACATAGAACAGTTTTTCAGAGGATGTTTTCTTATGTCAGACTGCTATAAGTGCACATTTGTTACATATGTTGTTTGATATTCTACTGCTAGGTGCTATATTTCTGCTGCAGGCATGCATCTTTACAAGTTAATATTACCACTCCACAAATCCATCCTTTGGGCAATGTATTTAAGATTTCTTGAGCTTTGTAGCCTTTTATTTTAGTGTCCTTTTTGTGACTGTTTTAGAGTCTCAATTTGTAGATTACTTATGAGTTTTTAATATTACTTTTTGCTGTGCTTATGAAGAAATATAATTAGGAAAGGTATTAAAGTAAAGATATCGCTTTTATTTTTTCAATCTGTTTTCTGTAACAAGGAGAACTCACATTTTGCTCTTTGTTAGAGTTCAGTTGTGTGTGTTATTTTTTTAAAAGATGATGAGGTATAAGTTATGTGTTAGCCTAAAGAAGCAAACATTTCCATTTTGGTAGTGTGTGAGTGGGAGCAGGCAAACCATGAAACTTTTCTCTGGCTGAGTTGTGCACGTGGCTGACTGCTGCAAGCAGCTGACTGAGATTATTGGGGTGCTGTAGAGCTCAGCTTGTGTGCATGGCTGGGCTGGGGGGGCACAGGGACATTGCTAGCAGATTAAAATGCCCCAGAGGGAGCTCTCCCCCTGGCTCTTGCAAGAGAGAGATGCTGTACATGCTCTCATGTACCATGGGATTTGTAGAGGATGGGGAGTTATCAGTATAGACTGGTTGAAAAATTGGGCGATGGTTGTGTTACATTAAATTGTTAGAATAACAGATGTGTGTTTGAAAAGCCCATGAGGGCTACAGTGATTTAACATGTAAAGATAAATTAATCTGCATGGTGGAGAAAGCTGAGGAGGAATCACTAAATCTGGTATAAATTATATTTTAATTTTAATTTA